TAAACAACAGAAAGGTCTTTTCTTGCAGTTCTGGAGACTGAAAGGTGTTCCAGATCAAGGTGTGGACGGGGGTGTTTCTTCCGAAGCCTCTCTCCTTGGCTCACAGATGGCCACTCTTGCTGTGCCTGCATGGGGTCACCACTCTGTGGGTGCTTATCCCTGGTGTCTCTCTGTGAATTCAAAATTTCCCCTTCTTGTCAGGGACACCAGGCAGACTGGATTAGGGTCCACCCTGATGGCCTCTTGAAAGACTTTATCTCTGAATGCGTTGCATCTGAGGTCCCGGGGGTTAGGACTTTAACTGAACAGATGAATTTTGGGAGGGACACAGCTCCTTCCCAGATTTAGCTCACAATGGCACTGTAATGAAGAAGAAGCTAAGGCTCAGAGAAGTATGTCACAGTCCAAAATCACAGTACAAGCCAGGGGATAAGGGTTTTTATCTCTCGACACGCCCTCCCCAGGGCAGCAATAAAGGACCGTGCACAGAGGACAGGGAATGGAATCTGTTGTTTGAATTTAGGTTTCAGCTTTGCTTCTGTTACTTTTAAGAACTTGAATACATGCCCTAACCTCTCCTGGCCTCGGTTTCCTTTTCTGTGAAATGGGGACAATGAAAGGCTCTTCCTCACAAGCTGGTCGTGAGGATTCAGTGAGCAGGAAATGCAGAATTCACATTTACAATGCCTGAGGCCCCCTGGTCCCGCTCTGCCTCTTCTCCTTCCCTGCCATCAAAATCTGCTCTTATTTACAGCTGGCCAAAAACGCCCAGTTATTTTCTTCAGAGGGTTTGCTGTTTAATAGCTAGAAAAACCGAAGGCTTGAAACTGTCACAGTGAAATTATAGGCATCGGTTAGCAGGTGCATGCAAGTTTTGGTCATGCAAGATGGCTTTCTGGGATGCTGAGCCTGAGGCAGGAACTGAAAGGGAAAACTTGCTGATGTGCCCTTACACTCCGAGTTCCTGGAGGTTCTCACTTCTAAATAACAGGCTGCATATGATTTGATTTCATTTCACTCTAAATTGCCCAGCCTGCAACGAGGGATGCAAGGTGGAGTCCTGCAGATCAATTCTGCTGTGCAAATAAACAGGAACCTGCTTACTTGGGGGCCCTTAGAAATGAGGCCAAGCTACAAATTGTTGAGGAAATGATTGCAGTTTTCCTTTAGGGTCAAACTGGGTTTGGAATACAAAATTGTTTTCCAATATTTAGTTTGTCGTTTTGATGTATGTACCATGCGTTCTCTGAAGTCCTGCTCTTTGCAAAGCACTTTGCTAAGGCTAGAGTGGGAAGATGGAGAGAATGTTCATCCTTTCCTGTGCCCACAGGAGCTCAGAGCGGGAGTGCAACTAAGAACTAGTAATGGGGTTCAGTAGACAGAGGTTCAAGCTGGGGAAGGCAGGGACACGCCAGTCTTCTCGTTCTAAGCTGGAACATCACTGTCCTGGGACAGAGGGACTCCTTTTATTATCCTTTATCCATTTGCCTTTTTTTTTTTTTTTTTTTTTTTTGGAGAGGCTGCTTTAAATCCTGCTCCTCTTGCATGGCCAATACTGGCTTTCCCATTCCTGTCCGGGGTCAGCAGAGCAGGTCAGATGGAGGCAGGTTCTTTTCATCTGGACCCAGCCCTGGCTTTGGTGGTAAAATATTCTCCCTAAGTCCGGGTCCAGATTCCTAAATGAAGTCAAGTTGTCCAGGGTATGGATTTCCCTTGTGTTCCTCACAAGCTTTTGACAACATCAGTCCCCCCGGTTTTGCCTGCCAGAATGCTGGGACCCGCAGAGAGAAGGGAAATAGTCACAAACTGAGTGGTCTTTTCCTCCAGCTTGTGTTCAGCCACTGCCGCTGTGGCTGTCACGGGGTCTGTGCTCTCCTGCAGCCCTGCCTGGCCTCCTCCCTGCAGGCAACCGCCCCCACATGCCCAGTGCTCTGAAATGTTTCTGCTCTCACTGGCCCCTTGTCACAAATGTCTCTTGATTTATAGGATCTGCTAGCCTAATTCATATGAAGGAGTGAATAATGATTGATGGAGTCTGTGTTGTAACCAGTGGCCCGTGCTTTAATTAATAATTATGAAACAACTTAAAAGGAACAGAGAAAGAAGCTTGAAAGGTGGAAGGATGGACCCAGTGTGGGAGCGGTTGTTTCTGCTGGAGGGCCTTCCAAATCCCGCCAAGCATGCCGTCCTCATCCACAAAGATCAAAGGCTGAAGGCCACTGGCCTATTTGCCTCCTTGTCATCAGCCTTGGTGGGGTGGAAATCTGCAAGTCAAGATTCCTGCTGCCCATTATAGGAATCCGTCCACCATAAACCGGGGACATCAGCAGAATTGAATGGTGAACCAAAAACTGGAACAAATCGCTTTAATTACCTAAGACCCAAACCTAATTCATGGTATTTCTTCATTGGACCATGAACCAACTTCATTATGTCCCCTCGTCCTAGTTGACCAGTTTAACCCAGAACTGAACTAAGGGCTCTCTAAAACTTGGAGCTACTGATGGAAGGGAAGGTCCCGATCATTCAGCTAGCCAAGCCCTCTCATTTTACACGGAGGCCCTGAGAGGTGTGGCCCAGGGCCTCCGCTTCACTTAAATGCTTCACTCTTCTCGAGGTCACGTGGCACCCCAGGGGCCCAAATTCAACTCATTACTCTGGCAGCACCTCACCTTCAGCACTGCTCCATGTGACTGCTTGACTTGGAACCCCCCAAAATAGCACAAGGCTGGGCACAGTGGCTCACACCTTTAATCCCAGCACTTTAGGAGGCCAAGATGGGAGAATCACTTGAGCCCAGGAGTTCAAGATGAGTCTGGGCAACACAGTGAGACCCTGTCTCTAAAAAAATAAAAAATTAGGCCCGGCTCGGCTCATGCCTGTAATCCCAGCCCTTTGAAGATCACTTTAGGTCAGGAGTTCGAGACCAGTCTGGGCAACTGGATAAAACCCTGTCTCTACTAGAAACACAAAAAAATTAGCTGGGGTCTGGTGGTGTGTACCTGTAATCCCAGCTACTTGAGAGTCTGAGGCAGAAGAATCGCTTGAACCCGGAAGGCAGAGGTTTCAGTGAGCGGAGATCACGCC